AAAACAAAACTTTCCATCCAGAGCTCCTTCACGGGACTCCACACTTGTAAACAATCGCTCCATCAGGCTCGCACCATTCGAGCGGCTCTCGGTCCTGCCCAGACTCATCAGCGCTACCAAGCCGACCAATCACAGAGCTTGCGCTACGCGTCATTGCAACGTGTTACATCTTTTGAGAGGTGCACATCAGCGACAACGATAGACACTGCGAAGGGCTATGCGTCAGCGCCGTAGCATACGCCGGCATTTGACGCAGAAGTATTAATCAGTCTTAAGACTTGTTTGCAGGAAGAATGGGACAAAAATACACCTGAAACTCTTAATCACTTGGTGTCTTCAGTCCCTAAATATCTTTTAGGTGTTGTGAAAAGGAACTGCAATGTTATAAAATGGTAAATGCTGTACTGATCAAACCAAAATTGTAATACATGTTTATTTTGAATATATATATATATATATATATATATATATATATTATGAGGAACACATTACATAATGTTTGATGTGTAGTCTGCTTTAAATACAAGTCCAAGTAAATTTAGAAATCTCTACTTTATTTTTATTTTTTTGCATTTTCTATACTGTCCCAACTTTTTCTGATTTGGGATTGTAGGTGAGGATGTTATGTTTAACAACTCTTCAATCAAATGTCACAATGTTTGTTTGTTTGTTTGTTTTTCATATAATGGAACTAATATCCAGTAGAATTCAGTAACATGTTTTGGTCATCTTTATAAGCAGAAATAGTCTGGCATTACCCTGTTTTGTTCTTATACATGCAATTGGATAAAAAAGCAAACGTTATAAGTGCTGTGAGTGTGAACAAATACTCCCATTCAATGTTGTCAGGATTTATCTAAAGAAAACAACATCTCTGGCAGGTGTTTCTAACAGTCTTTGTAAATTACCTAAAAGCTGCCGCCCAGCTACGAATCCTGTCTGGTCTTGATGTATAATGAATTGCATCACAGGATTAAGCCTTACTGCCAAGAGCTTGGCTAATATCTTGTAATCATTTGTGTTTAATTGCGATAATAACCGGTTATTTTCTCATACACTTTTTTTTTTTTTTTTTTTTTTTTCAAGATTTCATGTTTGTGTAAAACTATTCAATTATAAATCCACTGGAATCGGGTGCTTTTACACTTTACTTTTTTAATCCCTTGTCCAGTTTCAATTGTTGATATAGGTTGGCCTGTCATCAATACATCAGCCTTTCAGACTATACAGGAACATTAGCTGTCGTTATCGTTTTTTACGTAAATGAACATCTCCAATATTTCAGAATGTACTGCTCTTAAAGTGACAGCACACAATATTTCTGCTGCCAACTGTTTTTTTTTTTCTGTTTAACGGAAAGAATTTTTTTAACCCATTTCTATAATAGTTTTAATAACTCCTTTGTAGTAACTGATTTCTTTTACCTTTGCTATAATAACTGTACATATTATTTTACTATCTATTTTCCAGATACAAGCATTCAGCTTAAAGTGACATTTAAGGGCTTAATTAAGTTAATCAGGCAAGTTAGGGTAATTAGGCAAGTCATTGTATAACAGTACTTTCTTCTACAGACAATCAAAGAAATAAATTGCTGAGGGGGCTAATATTATTGATCTTAAAATAAGTTTAAAATATGGACTGCTTTTCTTCTAGCCAAAATAAAACAAATAAGCCTTTCTCCTGAAGAAAAAATATTATAGGAAATACTGTGAAAATTTCCTGAATCTGTTTAACATATTTGGGAAATATACAAATTTAAAAAAATTCACAGGAGGGCGAATAATTTTGACTTTAACTGATAATTGTTTTGAATAATCGTGATTTCAGTAATGGCCAAAATAATCATGATCATGATTTTTCCCATAATCGAGCAGCCGTAGGACAGGACTTGATTTCATCAGTTGAGATATGATTGGATGTTTGTTTGTGCTTTGCTATTGGTGAATCTTATGTGAGTGAAAGGTGCAAACAAACAAACACATCATCAAAAGAGAAATTTGATGTTGTGAAAGGGTGGCTGGCTATTTTGGTCAAAGAGCTTAACTTTGGTCACATGAACCAAAAAATAATAATAATCCGCAGGTTGATTTAAGTTTCTAATCTAATGGAACATTTCATTATTTATTAAAAAAGTTTGACTGTTGTTTTTCTTTGGCTTCAGTTAAGGCTGTGTCGGCATCATATGTCTCTGTTGCGGAAATGTCCTCGGCTAATAGCTCCTCAAGTTTTCCATCAGAAGTTCTCCTCAAACAGGTGGGTTTATACTTCATTTTATAAGTAAGGCAATCTGTTATATGATATGATCAAGCAACATCTGAGAGTGTGTTTTGTTATTTAGAGTTGTAAAGGGTCACAGGCTCTTTAGGAAGCTGTTGCTTGGCGTCTCAGTGGGCGTCCCGCTCGTGGTCGGGGTTCAATATGTGGTCTCTGAGCCCAGAGAGAGGAGGAAGATGAAGATGCTGACAGAGGGAATTGGACGCTTTTGCAGGTAAAACATTTTTATAATAATAATGTTTTATAAAATCATTTATTTATTAAGAAAGTAAGGATCAGAAGTGGCAGTAAAGACTTTTTATAAGGTTACAAAAGATATTTTTTATTTAAAAAGTTTGTTTTCCTCTAGTTTCCTTTAGTTTTGTTCATGAAAGGGGCAGTTGTAGCCTCATGGTTAGGAAGTTGGACTTGAAATCAAAAGGTTATAGGTTCTAGGGGTTTCACGAAGTTTATGCTTAATTTCGATTATCGAATCAAAAAATAGAATCGTCGATGCTGCCACGCCCCCATGTCACGTCAGCTTGGCTTGCCAAGCGGGAAAAAACAGGCTTGTTGAAGTGCTTGTTGAACTGCAGAAGCAGGAGACCCGTCGACAGAGCTTAAACCCTCTCCTCTTTCAATGAAGTCGCCGGTGTGTAAGCATTTTGGATTTCCAGTGAGTTATGTTGACAACGTTCGTGTTGTCGACAAAAAAAAAACACAGTTTTGCAAGCTCTGCTATGTATGTATTAGGGTTCGTCCGATAGACAACACCGGCATCGCGATCCTCCGCCCGCCCCCGTTGCAAATCCGCTCGCGAAAAGTACACACTCAGGCCCTGTTTGCACTGTCTTTGTTTTTAAATGGCATTTTAGAACGACAACGATTTGACATCCACAGTGGCGTGTAGCATTTCTGAGCAGCCCTTCTTCCTCTCTACCTCTGAAAATGCACATCACGTGACCACACAGACACAGACGCACTCACAACAATGCCACATCTCGAGAGAGCAGGTCCAGGCAGTCAGAGGACTGCTTCAATCTTTCACTCACTTGTACTTAGTCATTTTAGCGAACACCTCAGATACTGTTGACTGGTTCCTGTTGGTTGTGCATCTTTTTTACCGACGCCATTATAACGACACCGATCACTGCCTACTCACGAGTCCCGCAGAAAAAGTGATTGACAGGTGGTAATTATGTGTGTATCTTGCCTTTATTCATTTACTGTATGATTTGTTCATGGGTAAAACAAAGACCATCCAGGTCAGGTAGTTTAAACGGTAGGCTACAAATAATTAATTGGTCATTAATTAATTAATTATTCATAATTGAAAATCGAATCGAATCGTGCCTTTAGAATCGAAAATGTAATCGAATCGAGGATTTGGAGGATCGTGACACCCTTAATAGGTTCTATTCCTAGTCCTGGAAGCAATAGCTGCCCACTGCTCCAGGTGTGTGTGTTTGTGTGTGTGCGTGCGTGCGCTCTCACTCATCACTCAAATCTTGCACGTGGACTTGGGATGGATGTTAAAAACAGGACCAATTTTGAGTATGGAAAGCGTATGGAAAAACCATAACGGACAAGGCTCACTTCACTAAAAGAATAATAATAAGGGTGACATGGTGGCTCAGTGGTTAGCACTGTTACCTCACAACAAGAAAGTCGCTGGTTCGAGTCCTGGCTGGGTCAGTTGGCATTTCTATGTGGAGTTTTCCCCCACATTCCAAAGACATGCAGTACAGTATTTTCAATTCAACTCGCCTTTATTTGTATTGCGCTTTTACAATGTAGATTGTGTCAAAGCAGCTTCACATATAAGATCATAGTAAAATGAAACAGTGTAGTTCAGTTTTCAGTGTTTAAGTTCAGTTGAGTTTAGCTCAGTTCAGTGTGGTTTAAAATCACTACTGAGAGTCCAAACACTGAAGAGCAAATCCAACGAGGTCTACAGATCCCGAACCATGTAAGCTATTGATGACAGTGGTGAGGAAAAAACTTCACCAATTGGCGAAAATGAATGATTAAAACACCTCGAGAGAAACCAGGCTCAATTGGGCACGACCATTTCTCGACTGGCCAAGCGTCTTGTGCAGAGCTGCTGTCTACGCGCCGGAGGCTGAAAGCTAGACCTCAGCGAAGACTCGTCTGTCCCTGGAGCGTCACCGGAATCAGTCTCATGCTCTCCGCTCCTCCATGACCAACACAGCAGCTGCTCAGGATTCGGCATATATGTGAATTGAATGAACTAAATTGGCTGTAGTGTATGTGTGTGAATGAGTGTGTATGGATGTATTCCAGCACTGGGTTGCAGCTAGAAGAGGATCCGCTGTGTAAAACACATGCTCGATAAGTTGGCGGTTCATTTCTCTGAGGTGACCGCTGATTAATAAAGGGACTAAAGTGAAGGAAAATTAATAATTGATATTAACAAGAAGTGTTTCTTGAGCATTAAATAATCATATTACAATGATTTCTGACCTATCATGTGACACTGAACATTGCACTAATAATGCTGAAAATTCAGCATTTACATCTGATCTGAGAAATAAACGACAATTCAAAACATGTGAAATGAAAGTTGTTTTACATTTGAATAATATTTTAGATCGAGTAAGTACAGCATTGGTAATAAATATAAACTTTTGTCTCTCTGATTGCTAGATGTCACCTTTTACATTTATTATTGACAGATCATGACATCATGACTAAACTTTAAACAATAATGCATATCTGCTTAATTTTAGGTCTCTCTACGTCGGGCTTATGATATCAGCAGATTACTGGTGGACATCTAACATTGCTCTGCGTGGCATGGATGAGGTAGGTTTAAACTGCTGATTCATTTATTGTGGTTGGGAAATATATTATGCCAAAAAATCTTATTTTACCTGTAGATGGCACTTTTACATCCAAACACATCAGTCAAGCGCATGATTATAAACAAAAAACATTTAAATGTATACTTGACTTTTAATATGACGACGTCTGTCTTAAGTCTTTATAATTTTTATTTGATTTAAGTTGCATTTATATGGTTTTAGATTCAGTATTTGTTTAAACCAGGGGTGTCCAAACTCTGTCCTGGAGGACCGGTGTCCTGGAGAGTTTAGCTCCAACCCTAATCGAACACACCTGAAGAGGCTAATCAAGCTCTTACTTGATATACTAGTTCAGGGGTCTCAAACTCGCGGCCCATTTGCGGCCCTCAGTGCAATATTTTGTGGCCCGCGCCGACCGCTGTACACTGACAGAATCAGCGGAGCGGGGAGAGAGAGCGCTCCCCGCTCCGCTGATTCTATCCGTACACAGCGGTCACTGGCATTCCCCGCTTGCCGTGTAAACAAAGGGGCGGGGATGCCGGTGACGTCACCACGCACCCTGCCCCTTTGTTAGACGCTGTGACGGGCGGGAAGTGTTAGGAGGGAACTCGCGCCGGCCAGAACCAAGGTAAGCTGTTCCTGCCCCTGCCTGCCACTTAGCTACCTATCTGCAGCCTGCCACCTACCTAGCTACAGCCTGCATCTTATATATATTATAGGTAGATACAGACTGGTACAGACTGATGTGACTGGAGTGGGGTGGGGGTGTTTTATTTATACATATATAAGCCTTTTTTGTAGGTGAGGGAATGGAAGTTTTGAGTGAGTTCCCCCACTTTTTTCCCTAGGACTTGACCCCTGGCACAGCGGTCAGAAAAAGATTGAATTGAAGAGAGGCCGACAGTTGGCAGAAGAGTTTTTGTGTGGGCTACACCTGGAATCAATTTGAATTAGAAGAGACAGAGAAGAATTAGATTTTATTAAAGAATTAGATTTGGTTATACCACCATCATGACTTCATCAAAGCCTGCAGTGAAGAGAAAGATTGATGACGAGCACAGACAATTTCAGGAAAAGTGGGAGACGCAGTATTTCTTTGAGCACAGGGGCATCCCCACATGTCTTGTTTGCACAGAGAAAGTTGCAGTGCACAAGGAATACAACTTGAAACGCCATTATTCAACTAAACATGCTGAGGAATGTGCAAAATTTCAGGGGGATGAGAGAGCCAAGCGAGTTGCCAGTCTTAAAGCATGTCTACTGAGGCAACAAGATTTCTTCAAGAAATCAACCAAAGAGAATGTTGCATCAGTAGCCGCATTTCCACTATCGGGCCAGTGCAAGCCAGGGCTTTAATCGGGCCGGGCCGGGCCAATAGCCCGGGAGGTTGAGAAATGAGGCCGAAATCATGTCGCGTTTCCACTGACGGGCTAATAGCTCACAGCGCGTCACGCAAACATCGCCCACAGAACGTCCCCGAATCAAACGTCACACAACCCGCCCACTCCAGCGGGAATGAGGACAGGCAGATAAAGCACACCATAGAATCATCACGAAACGAAACCATTAAAATGAAGACAACCGAAACAAACAAATGACACGTTACTGTACAGCAGTACATGAAATGTCTATCCACACAGACCTGTGTATTTCCATTCATTACATTTGTTTACTCGCCGACCAACTGACACTGCTCTCGCCGAACGCAGGGACCCATCACAGAGAGCGCACACATCCATAATATAAAGCCACAGAAATTCTCCTTTATAACTCGATATGGCATGTATTTTATAACATCCTCGTTTTGATAGAAGTCGTGTTAAGTTTTCAGCATAAGAGCGAGTAGCCTTAAAAAATATAGCCATATTTGTTGCGCTCGGCAGCTATTCACTAAAGCTCTTCATTTAAAGTTTCATTTTTAAACTTAACCACGTCATATAAAAACATAAACAGTTGTTTGAGTATATAGAACACATTTTGTGTGGGGACTTTCCCCCATATGCGTTTAAAGCAGCGAGCGCTGCGCAGGACTGGGTGACAGAAAAAAAGGTATAGGCTAGATTCTGCTTTCACTCACCCAAATAATGCTCTGTTTGCGCAATTTGATTTATATCATCGTATCCAAATACTTTTATAAATAATATTATAATTTTATTAAATTATATTTATAAAATATTTATAAAATATAATAAAATATTATAAAATATTTTATTATAAAATATCGAAAATCTTTTTTTTTTCAGACAGGTCTTTGTAAAATGAAAGTTAGGCTATATGTGGCTTTAAAACGGTTCGATTTATGTATTGTATATAGGCTACCTACATATAGCTAGCTTTTGTTTATTTTATATTGGTTTATTTATTATTTAATGTGATTTTATATTTATCCGATATTTGTAATTCTTTAAATTATATTTCATTATAGCTTAGGCTATTTTATCAAGATATGACACTGTATTGTTTAAAGTCTATGAAAGTGGGCACGTATTTTGTTAAGTTTTATGTCCTTCTGTTGTATTTATATTGTTTATTATCTCCAAAATAAATAAAGAAAAAAGCCGCTCGCGGCATAACAGAGCTGTGAAGGAGCGCTCTTGCCTGGTCTCACACACACATACAGGCATTAAATGCGCACAAACAAACATTTTAAACTTGACAAAAACTCTCGAAAACCTTTACTGTCTGCTGTGTCTTTAATATGGTGTAAAGATTATTATGCGTAATTGAAACAAAGCAGGACGCAGCAAAAAAACGTCACTATAAATTAAAACTACTTCATTATTTTATGCAGCAGCCTTACATTTAAAAGGGAAACATAAGGGTGATCATACGCAAAAAGACCCCAGACTATAAGGCTAGATGTTTTCTTTCACTTATTTCTTTATTTGTTTGGCGCATGTACTTATGTGCGATCAGAAAACTGCCCGCCTCTTCTTTCACTCCGCCCCGAAGCCCCAGCTGGCCCTCCTTGGCCCAAGGTATTCGACGGGCCGAAAAAGGCCGGCCGCTGGCCCCAAGAAAGCCCCGCTTTGGCCCGATTAGGCCCCGGAAGTGACAGTGGAAACCCCACTGGTCTTGGCTCGCCCTGGCTCGCTCGCTTTAGGCGCGATAGTGGAAACGCGGCTAGTCGCAGCTAGTTACATGGTTAGTGAGATGATTGCTAAGGCAGGGAAACCATTCACAGAAGGAGAGTTTGTTAAAAAATGCATGTTACAGGCTGCAAGTATTATCTGTCCGGAAAAGAAAGGTCAGTTTAGCAACCTCAGTCTTTCTGCCAACACTGTGGCAGAGCGCACATTTCTGACATGTCAAGTGACATTTATCATCAATTGTGTGAGAAAGCCAAATGTTTTGATGCATACTCAGTCGCTCTTGACGAGAGCACAGACATAACAAACACTGCTCAGCTCACAATTTATGTCCGTGGTGTAGATTGCAATTTTGAATTGACGGAGGAGCTGCTCACAATAATTCCAATGCATGGCCAGACCACCGCTAATGAGATATTTTGTCATCTGTGTGATACCCTTGAGAATGCAGGTTTGCCATGGAAGAGCTTTGTTGGAATAACAACCGATGGAGCGCCATCGATGATAGGGAGGAAAAATGGACTGGTGCCACTTGTTAAAAAAAATCTTCAAGAGGAGGGTGTAGAGGAGGCCATTGCTCTTCACTGCATTATCCATCAGCAGGCCCTTTGCAGCAAATGCCTGCCGTGTGACAATGTGATGTCTGTTGTTGTGAAATGCGTCAACCAAATCAGATCCAGGGGATTAAAGCACAGGAGTTTCCGTGCTTTTTTAGAGGAAATGGAGTCAGAATATGGAGATGTGCTCTATTTCACTGATGTACGTTGGCTCAGCAGGGGAAATGTCCTGAAAAGATTTTTTGAGTTGAGAGAAGAAGTGAAAGCCTTCATGGAGAAGGATGGGAAGGCTGTTTCTGAGTTGAGTGATCACAAATGGCTCACAGATCACAGATTTGCAGACTTCAAAACGCACAGAGCCACTTTCCAAATTTTTGTGGACCCCTTTTCCTTTGATGTGCAAGATGCCCCTCCTGTGCTTCAAATGGAGCTCATTGACCTGCAATGCAACTCTGATCTTAAAGTCAAGTTCAGGGAGATGAGTGGAAAAGCAGACATGCATGGGCAATTTTTGAGAGAATTGCCCCCCCAGCTTCCCTGAGCTTTCCCGAATGTCCAAGCGGACCATGTGCCTTTTTGGGAGCACATATTTGTGTGAGAAGTTATTCTCCACCTTGAACTTCAATAAGTCAAAGTACAGGTCTAGACTTAATGATGATCATCTTCAAGCCATACTGAGGGTCTCAACTGCTTCCGCTCTAAAGCCAAATGTGGTTCAGATTTGTGAGAAGAAGAGCTGTCAAGTCTCTGGCAGCAAGAAGTAGGCAAAAGATGCCACGTTCAGAAGAACTGTTCATAATCTTCACTCAATGTTCTATTAATGTTCAGGACACTTCATGTTCAGAAGAAATAATTAAAACTGTTAATAATGACATTTGAGGATTTTTTTTTTTGTGAAATCCCTTATGCGGCCCAGCCTCACCCAGACTTTGCCTCCTGCGGCCCCCAGGTAAATTGAGTTTGAGACCCCTGTACTAGAAACTTTGTGGCAGGTGTGTTAAAGCAAGTTGGAGCTAAACTCAGCAGGACAACGGCCCTGCGTGACTGAGGCCCCGTTTACACTAGTGCGTTTTAGTTTGAAAACGCATAAGTTTTGCTACGGTTACGCCATCCGTCCACACTACGCCGGAGTTCTCGAGCGCCGAAAACGGAGCTTTTTGAAAACGCTGGAAAGGCTGTTTTCATTCTAAAACGCTGCTGCTCCGTCTCAGTGTGGATGGGGAAAGACGGAGACATCTGAAAACGGAGGCGGGGCTGCAAACGTTCGCCTCTCTGATTGGGGCTTTTCCTCAATATTAAGTAGCCCACACACAGTTCAGTCTCGCATCCTCTTCTTGTAAGTTAAGATTTCGCAAGTTTGATCAAGGCTGCAGTCTCCCCTTTCTCAGTTTGATATGGAAAACATACCGAGGACACGGGTAAATCTTCAAAGGGAACAGTGTACTTTATAACTTCATTCACATCACCTTGTCTACGTTGTTTCACTTTCTCAACAATAAAATGTAAACATGATTTAAGGAACTGCCTATTTTCTTTTTAATATTAGCGACTTAACAGACAGCAGAAATGTTGAGGCGTTGTGCTGCATATATGAGCGTCATCTTCACTGTGTGGATATTTATAACAAAACGGAGCCAATAACAACTGCCTCCTTTCAGTTTCAGTGAAAATACGAAACGCACCCTCTCTTTTGCTGAATATCAGTTTTAATAATCGATAATTATAAAAGTATAACATACAATAAGTTTATACATTGTAGGAAATAAAGGCAAGCGATCAGTCAATGTACCTGGATTAATTATTAACTTATCTTTGCGCTTAACCAAAACATGTTACCCGTGAACAAGTAGCTTAATAGATTCCAATGACCAAAGTCAGGGAATTGGCCTATGTCGTTAGATAAAGACAACAACATGAATGAAATATCACGTTTAGCAAATATAGTGAGAGTAGATCCAGCGGGAGATGCTTGATGAGCAGTCCGACAAGCAGAGCTCTCATCTGGGTAGAAATGCTGGAGCGCTTGCCCGAGAGTGTGTGTGTGGTCACGTGATGTGCGTTTTCAGCGTTTTGGTGTGGACGGAGAGCTGTTCAGAAACGCTGGGTAAAACGCGAGTGTGGACGCGGATCGTTTTCATTCTACAACGCCGTTTTAAAACTAAAACGCACTAGTGTAAACGGGGCCTGAGTTTGGACATCCCTGGTTTAAACAGTTATTTTATTACTACTATTACTGCACAAGAGTTAAAGGTGCAGTAGGTGATTGTCTTCAGAAACATTTTTTGTTGTGCTGATTAAAAGTCTCTTCACAGTCCAATAGTAACAATTAAAGTAAATTATTTATATGTGTTTATATGTATTTTTATTTTCTGGGTAAGGCATTAAACAAAAAAAGTTCATCCAATTAAATATTGTTGGGCCGACATCACCCATAATTCTGATAAGTAGCTCAGACTGTCTGTCAGCAAATGTAGATCCGGACTTCTGCACATCTGTTCAAGCAGATCCGCCTTTTCAAAGATAGTTATTTATATTGTTTGTTTTTTTTTTATTGTTATTTTGTGCTGTATTATTTGGTTACTGGCAACACTTTAAAATATAAGAAATTTTCATGTGATTTATTGTTTTTTTAAACTAGTAGTATTTTGAAATGAAAGAACGCATAATAATCGTGATAACCGTGTTTATTCCTCAGACTATAATCCTACAACAAAAATCTCTTATCGTTGCATCCCTAATGGGGACTCTATACTGCTCCGCGAGTGTTGTCTGTCGTCTATGAGACGTTAAAGCAAGGTCCTGACTCTGTGATCATAAAAAAATCCCAAAATGTCCTATGAAAAAGAGTAAGGGTTTAACCCTGACATCCTGGCCAAATTTGCCCACTGGCCTCTGTCCATCAATGAACTGGTGTGAGATCTGGTGCGATATGGCTGCGGTCGCATTATCCAGGTGGATGCTTCACACAGGTGTTGGATGAGGAGATTCACCCCAAAAATGTGTAAAGCCTTTTGAGTGTCCAGAAAAGCGCTATATGTATGTAAGGAATTGTTAATTTTTAAACGGCATGAGTAATTAAAAACTAAAATAGTTTTTGTCAGTTGACTACAGTACATATGGATTCTTGTGGTTGCAGCACATAAATTATTCATTTGTTTTTGTATGTGATTCTTATGCGATCTGAACTCTTTCTTTGGCAGAGCAGTCCAGAGTTTCTGAAGCAGATGTCAGCGTGTCATCAGAGAGCCGCCAGCAATATGGTGGACGGAGCCATACAGAACGGAGGCTTGTACATTAAGCTGGGACAGGGCCTGTGTGCATTCAACCATCTTCTACCTCCAGAATACATCCAAACCCTACATGTGCTTGAAGACAAAGCTCTCAACAGAAGATACAAAGAGGTGAGGGTTCTCGCAAAACATGCAAGGCGCATTACGGGTCAGATGTTTATTGGATGTTTTATAGGTGTGATAAATTCCTTCGTCAGAGATGAAACCTTTTATCAACGCTTACATTTTAAACAAGTGGCAAAAGGAATGGGATGCATTAGAAAACAATAAACTACATGAAATCCAACCTGAAGTTTCACAAAGAATTTTAAGACATTTTAAGAATCGATTTGATCAAGTAGTTTTTACCAGATGTCGTATTGGGCATACGAGGATTACACATGGTTTTTTGCTCCAAGGTGAAAACCCTACTCAGTGTTTGTGCTGCAAAACTCCTCTTACTGTAAAACATATTTTACTGGACTGTCCTGCTTGTACTGATTCCAGAAGGACTTTTTATGAAATGAACTCTTTTAAGGACATTTTTGACAAAGTGGAACCAGAAAAGATTTTAGAATTTTTATCATGTATTAACACAAAAAATCTTATTTAATTTATGTTTTATTTTGTTTGTTGATTTTTAAATTGTATATTTATTGTTGAAAGATTCCTGCCAGGAAGATAGCCTTGGTTGCTGACATGGCACTAAATAAAAAATACATTACATTATAGGTGTGATCTCTGGGTAAATATGAAATCTGTCATATTACCTAAATACAGATGTCTTTATTGTAATGCAGTATAATTGACACTAAAACAAAAGAATTGATTGTGTATAAACACTCACTGGCCACTTTATTAGGTACACCTTACTAGCACTGGGTTGGACCCCCTTTTGCCTTCAGAAATGTCTTAATCCTTCATGGCATAGATGCAACAAGATATTTCGGTCCATATTGACATCTGGTTTGATGTAAGCATCTTGAACTACAAAATGGTAAAAAATGTCAACTGTTAGTGCTACAAGCAACTAGTAACCGAATAATATGTTCCCTATCACATTTTGCAGTTTTTTTTTTTGTTAATAATAGATTTGGTTTACTGTAAATTCTACATTTGTTGTACAGATTTAAATGTGCCTGCACTTTTGGAATGAAAATATATATTAAAAAAAGGATTTATTCATGTAACGTCAAAACTTCATGGAGTTAGAAACCTAGGAGAATTAAATCAGCAAACTTTTTTTAATTAATCATGATGCATGTTGTTCCAGGTAGATGCTTTATTCCAGGAGGACTTTAACATGACTCCAGATAAAATGTTCAGAACATTTGACTACGAGCCTGTGGCTGCTGCAAGTCTGGCTCAAGTGCACAAAGCCGAACTGCACGATGGGACACCTGTGGCTGTAAAGGTATGTTTAGGACTGCATGTGATGACTGTTGAGAACTTGAGAACATATCACCTATGTGCATTGTAGTTGATGTTTTAATTGGATTAACTTGATATTAGTGTCTAATAAAATGTATTTTCATAAGTTATATTTCATATGGTATGTATTGGTTTATTTTGATTCATTGAACCCCTATTGCTAGGGCCAGACAGAATCTGTGGATATTCTTTTGCTTGGTGGTTTTAAACAAAGAATTACCATGTTTATCCATAACTTACAGAAGATAAAAATAGTATTTACTAGTTAAATACCTTCGACTTTTTTTTTTTTTCCTTTGGATTGCGACGCCTGGGTTGTTTACATTTATATTAATAATATTAATTGTAATATTTAATATTAATAGCGTCAGTTGCAGCAGATTGATTTTACAGCACCATGGTAAACTTTACTGGTAAACTGTTTTTTTTAAAGCATTATAAAATCATACAAGTGGTGGTCTCCAAAATTAAACCAATAGTCTTGTACAGCAAACATTGTGCCTACCAGTCTTAATATAAAATTAAACAAATTAATAAATCACACAAAAAACTATATATATATATATATATATATATATATATATATATATATATATGTATGTATATGTTTTTTATTTTATTATTATTTTTTGGACTGTTGCACTTTTTTGTGTTGTCAATATACTTGTATTTACATAGTCCTGTTGGTATGTATGTTTAAACCACCCCCGAGGATAGTGGAGGTTGCGAGTCACTGGAAATCCTATTGTGAAGGTTCACAGGCTCAGAAGTTGGGGAACCCCTGTACTAGAGGAATCAAACAAACACAACTTATAACTTTTTATCAGTGTTGTTATTTGCATGTCTTTTTGTACAATTAATGATTAAGAAACAGTTATGAATATAAATTATATATTGAAGATTTGGTAAAAGTGTTGCCATGAATATAGCCAATGCTGCTGATATAGCTATAAAACATAAATAGATATTAACAAAAAGGTTTACAAGTCTAAAGAAATGGTTTTAATTGCATTTGCAATTAAAGTAAATTTCATATCTAGTGAAAGACAGAAAACATTACTTAAACTGTATTATACATTAATCTTATACACTTTTACATATTATTCAATATCATTAATAAAATAAATGTAAAAAAAAAACAGAATAAATATATATTTACTCACATCTACATAAGTAAATAAATACTTTGAATGATGGGCTGAAAAATCTGCAGATTTCTGCACCTGCAGATTCCATATGGACCAGTTTATAGCCAATAATTATTATCCAATCTAGAGGAACAACATGCAGTAAATATTGTGGCTCATTATGTTGTTCTAAGGATCTGTGCATGTCTGTTGTGTTCAGGTGCAGTATATTGATCTCAGGGATCGCTTTGATGGTGATATCAGGACTCTAGAGATTTTGTTAGACGTAATAAAATTTATGCACCCTAGCTTTGGCTTCCGCTGGGTCCTACAGGTCAGTGCATGAACATTCACACTTAAGCTTTCATGTTTAATAACTTACTAATAATAAATCATTTGAAGTTACTCATCAGAATGTGATAACAGATATTGTCTGTCCAATGTATTGTGTGTGTGTGTGTGTGTGTGTGTGTGTGTGTGTGTGTGTGTGTGTGTGTGTGTGTTTGTGTGTTTGTGTGTTTGTGTGTTTGTGTGTGTGTGTGTGTGTGTGTGTGTGTGTGTGTGTGTGTGTGTGTGTGTGAATTATAGTTTGAAGATTTTAGAAGGTGTGTAAAGTTTCAAGTAGTGACAGATTGATGGATGGATGGATTATTCTAGCATATTTAACATAGTTGCTAACTTTTTAGCACAGTTAGCATGTTTTTACATGTCTCTATCTTAGTTAACAGTGTACATAGCATTTTTACAACTGTACTAACATGTCTAGCATGTTGTTAGCTTGTCCTAGTCTTATTGTATATGCAAACAGATAGCTTGATGGATAGTTTCTTCCAGTATATAGTAGCTAATGTTGCAGCACATTGCAGCACTAGCATGTTTTATCATGTTTCTTACACATTTTAGTACGTGGATAAAACTGATCATGTCTATATTGATGGATGTATAACAGTATAAACTGTATGTACACTCACCAGCCACTTTATTAGGTACATCTGTCAAACTACTCGTTAACTCAAATTTCTAATCAGCCAATCACATGGCAGCAACTCAATGCATTTAGGCATGCAGACATGGTCAAGAAAGACGATCTGCTGCAGTTCAAACCGAACATCAGAATTGGGAAGAAAGGTCATTTAAGTGACTTTGAACATGATATGGTTGTTGATGCTAGACAGGGCTGGTTTGAGTATTTCAGAAACTGCTGATCTACTGGGATTTTCACGAACAAACCATCTTCAGGGTTTACAGCGAATGGTTCTAAAAAGAGAGAATATCCAGTGAGCGGCAGTTCTGTGGGCGCAAATGCCTTGTTGATGCCAGAGGTCAGAGGAGAATGGCCAGACTGGTTCCAGCTGATTGAACAGTAACCCAAATAACCACTCGTTAAAACCAAGGTATGCAGAAGAGCATCTCTGATCACACAACACCTTGAGGTGGATGGGCTACAGCAGCAGAAGACCACACCGGGTGCCATTCCTGTCAGCTAAAACAGGAAACTGAGGCTACAATTCGCACAGGCTCACCAAAATTGGACAATAGAAGATTGGACAAGCGTTGCCTGGTCTGATGAGTCTCGATTTCTGCCGCAACATTCGGATGTTAGGGTCAGAATTTGGTGTCAGCAACATGAAAGCATGGATCCATCCTGCCTTGTATCAACGGTTCAGGCTGGTGGTGTAATGGTGTGGGGGATATTTTCTTGGCACCTATATTTTCTTGGACCTATTAGTACCAATTGAGCATTGTGTTAACACGACAGCCTACCCGAGTATTGTTGCTGACCATGTCCATCCATTTTTGACCACAGTGTACCCCCTGTATCTTCTGACGGCTACTTCCAGCAGGATAACACGCCATGTCTTAAGGCACAAATTATCTCAGACTAGTTTCTTGTACATGACAAAGAGTTCACTGTGATCTGATGACTGTGGAGGCCATTTCAGCTCAATCCAATAGAGCACATTTGGAATGAGGTGGAATAGGAGATTCATATCATGGATGTGCAGTTGACAAATCTGCAGCAACTGCATGATTCTATCATGTCATTATGGAACAAAATGTCTGGGGAATATTTCCAGTATCTTGCTGAATCTATGCCACAAAGGATTAAGGCAGTTCTCAAGACAAAAGGGGATCCAACCCGGTACTAGTAAGGTATACCTAATAAAGTGGCCGGTGAGTGTATACACTTATCATCTGATAGATGAAATGATAGAACTTTTTTTCTTTTTCTTTTCTTCCTCCATTATGTTAGTAGGACTTGAAGGGGACTCTTGCCCAGGAGCTGGATTTTGAGAATGAAGGCAGAAATTCTGAACGTTGTGCAGAGGAACTGAAGCATTTTAAGTTTGTAGTTGTGCCTAAAGTATTCTGGGACGTGACCAGCAAGGTGGGAATGAATCTTCAAATGACTTCAGTAAAGTCTTTCTATGGTCTCCAATTTTACCATATTAATGAATGCAGTCTATGACTTTGTGCATGTAGAGGGTCCTCACAGCAGAGTACTGCGATGGATGCAAAATCAACAATGTGGAGGAGATTCAGCGTCAGGGACTGAGCCTCAAAGACGTGAGTTTGATGGCATCTGTTGTGACTGACTGCTTCACGTCACAGCCGTTAAACGTTGATAATGATTTCGCTCTGGCTGTGTTTCAGACAGCTGATAAACTCATCCGCATATTTGCAGAGCAGATCTTTTACACCGGCTTCATTCACGCTGATCCACATCCTGGAAACGGTGAGATTACTGTCGTTGTCTGTGCTTATGGCTTCATTAGTTAATGGGGATTAATTAAAGGTGCAGTAGGAGATCTTGGGAAAATGCTAACTTTAGCCTGATTAGCATTATTCCTGGCTGGCGTTGTTTATAGGTTATGCATCCCTCCTCATAAATTTCCATTAATAAGTACATAAGTGAGGTGGGATTTGAACTTCTACTGCCAGATCTGAGATGTTTTTAGTGCCAACTTCTGGTTGTACAGCAAAACTGAATTAAAGTGCTAAGATAATAGTACACAATATTCACATGTAGGGTGAACACATTGTGTCTGCCATCTTGTTTATGCGAATGACATCTGACAAATTCAGAACTATAAATCTACAACTTTTAATTAGAAACACGGGTGTTTTGCTTATCTGTGTGTGCAAATCGAGAAATTTAGCTTTACATGTCAGAGCAGTTTAAATTTCAACTAAGAATACTAATATGAAAAGTTTTGGCACGCTCTCCAGTTTTCTTCTGGTTGGGCAAGCATCTATTATAAAGCACTGGGATATTTTTAAACAGCTGTGCAAAGCATTCACAAAAAAAAATACAAAGAAAGCACAAGATGTTTGTAAATCAACAGACTTGTGTTTATGACTGACATACAAGGCACAGACTAATTATTTATATAGAAATTATTTAATACTCTAATCGTCTTTATCTTTGTGTTAATGTAACCGTTTGCGTTATGTAGTCCTAGATGGTGTTTAGGGGTTGGGAGTTTTTAAGCCGCCTTTAGAACTGTATTTCACAGTGCAATGAGACGTTGTTGCACTCATAGACTAAAGGATATAGACGTAGTATCTGTGACGTCACCCATAGATCGCAAATTAAGCTACCAGTAGGCATAGCCAAACGTCATCATTTTGTTGGCGCGTCATCACACTGACCAGGGGTTACCAGAAAAGGGCAAAGTGGTGGACCGTGAGCTTTTGCTTAGATGGATTTTTCTTTGGGAGAATCGTTTAATACTTTATCACCTGCGACTCGTTTGTGTTCTGACCACATGTGCTTGGTTATTTTCTACATCTAATACTTCAAATATAGTCTGTGTTAGTAAATGCAAGGCTATTTATGAAATCCAGGCATAACACTGTGTAACAACAATTCAGATGACTGTTCTATAGCCTACAGCTGATCAATCTGTCAGATTCCGGAGTGCATTCAAGTTTGAAATAAAATGATAAATGATCTTAAATAAAACAAATACATTTATAGAGATGGTTTATAAGTAATATAATTTCACTCACCTGGGAAATGGAGGCCGCTTGAATGGTTTGAGAGCACAATTAAGTGAACAGCATGCCATATTATCTGATACTTGTAGAAAATAAATCCAGCGCAGAAACTCCATTGAAAATACTGGGGTAAAAGTAATTTTTATATTTTAAAGCGACGGCAGGGAAAAATAGAATTTAATGCAGTGCATCTTGTCTGGTCTGAGACACACTTTATGGCGTATATCAATCAGACAGTGAAAATCACTTATTTTTAAAGAAATCAGATCTTAAATGTAGATCTTAATGAGTTTGTAATAGACCAAAAAAAAAAAAAGTATAACTTTTTTGGCAATCGGATATTAGGCATGGATATAGCCTCCCCAAACAGTTTGATATGGCGCTTGGAAACAGAAGACGCCATAACAAGCAGATCCTTTGGAAGTCAATGGCTGCTGGTTTTCAACAAAAAGTACATCATCTTTTGCTGTTATTCATTTCAGTGCTGGTTAGAAGAGGTCCAGATAAAAAGGCTGAGCTGGTTCTGTTGGATCATGGGCTGTATGAACACCTCAGTAAAAGGTGAGAGCTTGAGAAATAAACAGCACCGTCTCTGCAATGAGCCTGAAACAGGTGAAGACCGTAAACTCTCTGTGTGTGTGTCAGTGACAGAGCAGCTCTCTGCCAGCTGTGGAGAGCCATAATCCTGCGAGATGACGCTGGTATGAAGACATATGCAAATCAACTCGGGGTCAAAGGTGAAGCAGCTTTTCCTAATAATACTATTTTGTTTTCCAAATATTTCCCAAATGATATTTCACAGCATCACTTTCACAGTATTTTTAATTAGATTCACAGAGAAAGTCTTGTTTGTTTTAGTTTGGCTGGAATAGAAATTAAATATAAATAGCAGTTCACACTCACCGGCAACTTGGGTATTAAGGTATTAGGTGCACCTGTCCAACTGCTCGTTAACGCAAATTTCTAATCAGCCAATCACATGGCAGCACCTCAATGCATTTAGGCATGTAGACATGGTCAAGACGATCTGCTGCACTTCAAGCTAAGCATCAGAATGGGGAAGAAAGATCATTTAAGTCAGCGGTCCTCGACCTTTTTATAACGTGGACTAGTCAACGCTTGACAATTTTACCATGGACCAGGGGGGCTGGGGTGGGGGAGCGGTGTTTTGTAGGTTGCTAGGCGACCATCAACAGTTTTCTCAGAGGAAGACAAGCCGACAAAACATTGCTGTCACTCTGATACAAGTAATATTTATAGAGGAAATTACAAAGCACTGCAGTGTTTGGATGTTCTGTGTTTGTCTGAGATAATTAGTGCTACCGAAATGTTTATATTCCATACAAGCTGAAGCTGATTGGATCAAGTGGGTGCGTCTGAAAGGCACAAGCGCGTCACACAACTCTTAGAAGCCGTTTGCATATCGCATCTTTCTAAAGGCCGCCGTCATTTGTGATCTCCAGCAGTTGTAATTCTTGCACAGCCATGGTGGATTCACCTGATTTGTTGACAAATTGATTCCAGATTCAATCCTTGGCAGTTCTCGGGCCTTTTCCCCTTAACAAAGAAAACTTTCAAAGACGTCTATTTCTGACTCGTTTTACTTCTTGTGGATTAAATTTTGACACTGGTCCGCAGCCAAGTGGTTGAGGACCAGTGATTTAAGTGACTTTGAACATGGCATGGCTGTTGGTGCCAGATGGGCTGGTCTGAGTATTTCAGAAATGGCTGATCTACTGGGATTTTCACACACAACCATCTCTAGGGTTTACAGACAGTTGACCGAAAGAGAGAAAATATCCAGTGAGTGGCAGTTCTGTGGGCGCAAATGCCTTGTTGATAGCAGAGGTCAGGGAGAATGGCCAGTCTGGTAAGAGCTGATAGAAAGGCAACAGTAACTCAAAAAGCACTCGTTACAACCGAGGTATACAGAAGAGCATCTCTGAACTAACAACACGTCTAACCTTGAGGGGGATGGGTATGGAACAAAATCAATGCCAAAAGTCTTGAATTAAAAAGCTTGTTGAATATCACAAACTGAAAAAAATAATACACCGTATTAACAAGTTCTTGCGTTTTAATGACTTGAATTCCAGGGTTTGTATTTTTAGGTCCTGAAATTTAACATATCTGTTTATTTAAGCTTTGAATATTTCAACGAAAAATATTTCAAAAACGTTTTCATACTTAAAAATTCAATAATTCATATTCAATTTTCAGATTTCACTTACAAAATATTTAATACCCTTTAAAAATACGATGTATAATATTCAAAAGGTAATTTTCAGTTCATTTTATTTGAGTTCAAATATACGCTTCCATAAATTCAGTGGATCAAATTCGACTGTTAAAATTCAACATTACATCCGGGAGCTGCAGGAAAAGCAATAGATTGCAGATTGAAGATCGCCAGCTGCTCTAGCTTTCACCAGCAGGTGGAGATGGAATAATGTAAGATTTTTAACCCAGTAAACAGGCGAGAAAAAGGCTATTAAAGGCACAAAAGTAGCATTTAATATTAATATCAATGCTTTGGACATTATAAATGATAAAAAGTATGAGTAAAATGAGTAAATGAGGTTTTAGTCATCTATATTTGCCCTTATGTAACGGAAGCCAGCTGGTGATCGCGTAAATCTCAGTTCTCGGATCCAGTGACAGACGTTGTTCTGCAAACTTATCGGAGCTTGTCTCCCATGCTGGCTCGCTCCCTGCTCGGACCGGTGCGGTTACTTGCACATAAACCGTCTTTTGATGAATATGATGTTACACATTGTCTATCTTTATTGACTCTTTCTTCCATAGACGCGAAGTATTATATTGACAGCTAAAGAATATAAACGTAAGAGAAACAGGAGAGGAAATATTATAATAATACAAAATAGATAAACATTGACAGGGCTAAGAACAATTACGAACAAAGATATTCAAAAGCAGAGAGATTTTATGAGAATGTCACACAAAACAGTTTACTTGGAACTGTTAAACAGTGTTCAGGTATGATTTAAGGTTGGTTATGGATGGGGCGTGTAATTTAAAATAATTTAACATAACGTGCGAATGCATTAAAGCAGCTTCTTCAGTTATTATTTAAACGCAGCTATGTCAGGATTGGGATAGGTTATATAATTTCATTATTTAAATTATGATTGTTAATATTAATATTTTATGACATGTATTTGGGCTATTGCACTTAAATAAATCCGTGATTCTAAATTAATATTTCTATTTATCCTTTTTATCACTCTGCTGTCTTTCTCTTCTTTTTTTTCTAATTATTGGGGTTCTGCCACGGTTAAACGTTTGCAAAATGTCTTTAGTTTGTCCAGAATATTGTTTTATTGTTATGTAGCCTATAGGTGAGAAAAATGTATTAACGCAAATGTGGCAATGTCGCAGCCAATTATAAGTAATAAAATGAGTCGCCTGTGGTTTGATAATAGGCAGTTATAACTGACTTTAATTTGTTTTCTGTATTAAATGAGAAAACCATCATTTATAACTTTACAGCAACCATTTGTATTTTATGATTAGCAATGTTGATCTTTTTTGCAGTTATTAAACATATAAACTTATTTAAACTGGTTTAAATTTAATATAGTTGTCACTTCAGCTAGTTTCATAAGATTAATGTTTAGAATGCGTGGTTGAGGGGTTCCTGCAAAGCAGCTCTGTTCATCCTCATGGGGTATTACTGAGCTGTAATCGCCATCTACTGGAGAGAATGTATTTGCTCATTTATTCTATTAACTCTTTTCTGCAAGTCTGTTTTATGATTTCACAAAGTCAAACCATTATTTTTTTATTTTATATTTTGAGATGATCATATTTAAATAAACTATTGCTATGGTAGCTAATATTTCTTTTTTCTTGTTTTAAAAAAAAAATCAGTAGCCTATAAAATTATAATTTTTGCTTGACAAAGTTATTGGTTTAGGATTCTGGATGCATTTTTGCTAAATGAGTGTTGGATACTCTCACACTAGTTAAATCAATTATATTATCAGAAATGACAGATATAAGAATGTCATGACTTTCACTTTCATTTTACATTATTATGCACAAGCCCAGATATCATCTGAAACTTCGGAAGAATTCCTATCATATATTGGCAGCCATCCAGCATCTCTTAACCAGTTTGATATGCGACGCTGGCTCTGACCGGCCATTAATCTTATGAAACTAGCTGAAGTGACAACTATATTAAATTTAAACCAGTTTAAATAAGTTTATATGTTTAATAACTGCAAAAAAGATCAACATTGCTAATCATAAAATACAAATGGTTGCTGTAAAGTTATAAATGATGGTTTTCTCATTTAATACAAAAAACAAATTAAAGTCAGTTATAACTGCCTATTATCAAACCACAGGCGACTCATTTTATTACTTATAATTGGCTGCGACATTGCCACATTTGCGTTAATACATTTTTCTCACCTATAGGCTACATAACAATAAAACAATATTCTGGACAAACTAAAGACATTTTGCAAACGTTTAACCGTGGCAGAACCCCAATAATTAGAAAAAAAAGAAGAGAAAGACAGCAGAGTGATAAAAAGGATAAATAGAAATATTAATTTAGAATCACGGATTTATTTAAGTGCAATAGCCCAAATACATGTCATAAAATATTAATATTAACAATCATAATTTAAATAATGAAATTATATAACCTATCCCAATCCTGACATAGCTGCGTTTAAATAATAACTGAAGAAGCTGCTTTAATGCATTCGCACGTTATGTTAAATTATTTTAAATTACACGCCCCATCCATAACCAACCTTAAATCATACCTGAACACTGTTTAACAGTTCCAAGTAAACTGTTTTGTGTGACATTCTCATAAAATCTCTCTGCTTTTGAATATCTTTGTTCGTAATTGTTCTTAGCCCTGTCAATGTTTATCTATTTTGTATTATTATAATATTTCCTCTCCTGTTTCTCTTACGTTTATATTCTTTAGCTGTCAATATAATACTTCGCGTCTATGGAAGAAAGAGTCAATAAAGATAGACAATGTGTAACATCATATTCATCAAAAGACGGTTTATGTGCAAGTAACCGCACCGGTCCGAGCAGGGAGCGAGCCGGCATGGGAGACAAGCTCCGATAAGTTTGCAGAACAACGTCTGTCACTGGATCCGAGAACTGAGATTTACGCGATCACCAGCTGGCTTCCGTTACATAAGGGCAAATATAGATGACTAAAACCTCATTTACTCATTTTACTCATACTTTTTATCATTTATAATGTCTAAAGCATTGATATTAATATTAAATGCTACTTTTGTGCCTTTAATAGCCTTTTTCTCGCCTGTTTACTGGGTTAAAAATCTTACATTATTCCATCTCCACCTGCTGGTGAAAGCTAGAGCAGCTGGCGATCTTCAATCTGCAATCTATTGCTTTTCCTGCAGCTCCCGGATGTAATGTTGAATTTTAACAGTCGAATTTGATCCACTGAATTTATGGAAGCGTATATTTGAACTCAAATAAAATGAACTGAAAATTACCTTTTGAATATTATACATCGTATTTTTAAGGGGTATTGAATATTTTGTAAGTGAAATCTGAAAATTGAATATGAATTATTGAATTTTTAAGTATGAAAACGTTTTTGAAATATTTTTCGTTGAAATATTCAAAGCTTAAATAAACAGATATGTTAAATTTCAGGACCTAAAAATACAAACCCTGGAATTCAAGTCATTAAAATGCAAGAACTTGTTAATACGGTGTATTATTTTTTTCAGTTTGTGATATTCAACAAGCTTTTTAATTCAAGACTTTAGGCATTGATTTTGTTCCATAGATGGGCTACAGCAGCAGAAGACCACACTGGTTGTCACTCCTGTTGGCTAAGAACAGGAAACTAAAGCTACAATTTGCACAGGCTCACTGGAATTGGACAATAGAAGATTGTCTGGTCTGAGTCTTGATTTCTGCTGCGACATTCAGATGGTTGGGTCAGAATTTGCCGTCAACAACATGAAAGCATGGATCCATCCTGCCTTGAATGAACAGCTCAGGCTGGTGGTGTAATAGTGTGGGGGATATTCTATTGGCACACTTTGGGCTCATTAGTACCAATTGAGCATCGTGTCATCGCCACAGCCTACCCGAGTATTGTTGCTGACCATGTCCATCCCTTTATGACCACAGTGTACGCATCTTCTGATGGCTAATTCTAGTAGGATAATGTGCCATGTTATAAAGCGTGAATCTTGTCACACTGGTTTCTGGAATATGACAATGAGTTCACCACTCAAATGGCCTCCACAGTCACCACAGCTCAATCCAATAGAGCACCTTTGGCATGTGGTGGAATGGGACATTCGCATCATGGATGTGCAGCCGACAAATCTGCACCAACTGCATGTGATGCTATCATGTCAATATGGAACAAAATCTCTGAGGAAAATTTCCGCTACCTTGTTGAATCTATGCCACAAAGGATTAAAACAGTTCTGAAGGCAAAAGGGAGTCCAACCCAGTACTAGTAAGGTGTACCTAAAAAAGTGGCCGGTAAATGTATATATAGAATAGCAATAAAAGAAACTATTATAAATATGAAGATTACCAGGTTTTTTACTCCATTGGCTACAGAACCACTGTTGTCCAATGACTTGCCTTGTTAACCAATTAAGCCTTTAAATTTCAATTTAAGCAAAATACTAGTGTACAATAGTATATTATTATGTACTGTCATCATGAAAAACACACGATGGAATTAATTATTTAAAACTATTTTGTTTAAAATGTGCAGAACATTTTTTTTTTCAAGAAAGAAGTAACATTTCACAACAGAGATAATCTTTTTTTAAACTGTATATTTAAACAGAATTTGAGTGTAAATTTACAATTGAAATACAATGAAGAACCACTTGAGGATTAGCTACATTTATTACTTAATTCATACTTATGTATTTGAGTAAAATGTCAGTTTTGATCTAACTACCGATTACACTTCCACCCAATTTAAAATAAAAAGGGTAAAAAATATAATCAGACCTCGTAAACAGAAACCAATATACAAATGTTTTTTTTTTTTTTTACCTGTCCATACGTGTATGATATTAATCGATTTGTTGCTCTATCCAAGAATATTTCCTGTTCAGCGAGATGCTCCTGCAGCGGCCGATCAATATGTGGGATCTGGGTCTGGGGAACATCCTGACTGGAGAGGAGACGTCCTACATGCGGGACATGGCCATCAACCGCTTCGACAAAATCATGCAGGTGCTGAAGTCTATGCCGCGGCCCATGCTGCTGGTCTTCCGGAACATCAACACCGTCCGCTGCATCAACATCACTCTGGGAGCTCCAGTCGACCGCTACTTCATCATGGCCAAGTGGTACGGAAAAAAACAAAGGCCTGTTTCATCTCCACTGACATAAAGGTCTTTTGTATTTACACTACCTGACTAAAGTCTTGTTACCTATCCAAGTTTTAGAAACAACAAATAATACTCGACTTCTAGTTGATCATTTGGTATTAGAAGTGGCGTATATGACAGGCAAAGGAAAGCATCTTAATGAACTTCCATAGTTCATCAAGATTCTTTTGAATTATTCTTCAATGCCTCCTTCTCCTTCTTACCCCAGACATGCTCAATAATGTTCATTCTGGTGACTGGGCTGGCCAGTCCTGAAACACCTTGACCTTTTTTTGCTTGCAGGAACTTTGATGTGGAGGCTGAATTTGCCCTCTTCTGTGGTTTAAAATCTAATGGGCAGCCCAAATGTCTTGAAACCTCAGATTGTTAATGTTGCCGTCCACTCTGCAGATCTCTCGCACACCCTCATACTGAATGTTACTCCAAACCATGATTTTTCCTTCACCAAACTTGACTGATTTCTGTGAGAATATTGGGTCCATTCGGGTTCCAATAGGTCTTCTGCAGTATTTGTGATTATTGAGATGCAGCTCAACAGATGATTCATCTGAAAAAATCTACCTTCTGAAGTCAAGTTATTATTTGTTGCTCTTACAACTGGGATTGACGACAAGACTTTTGTCAGGTTGTGTACAGTGCCCCAGTTTAATATTGGAACCCTTGATTAAGGTCTGATCTTTAGCTAACGTTATGTCCTTGTTTACTTTCAAAATAGATCTCAGCGGGGTGATTTTCTCTTTCATGTGACGCCCCCTGAGATGTTCCTCTACATTTAGTTATTAATTTGTTAATTCATTCTAGGGCTGAACAAAATGTCGTATGAGCATTAATATTGCAGTGCGTGTATCCGCAATGGTCACATCGCAGGGTTAGGTTGTTTATTAAAGATAGAAATGTTCAAATATTATTTATACAGTGATGCTGACAATGTTATTTTACAGTATGTTAGATTTTTCAGTTTCTGTATTTGAATACAGTTACACTCCCCAGAAATCCTATTTACAGTTGAAGTCAGAAATATTAACCCCGCTGAATTATTAGCCCCCTGTTTTTTTTTTTCCTATTTTCTGTTTAATGGAGAGAAGATTTTGTTACCACATTTCTTAACATAATAGTTTTAATAACTGATTTCTAATAACTGATTTATTTTATCCTTACAATGACAGTAAATAATATTTAACTAGATATTTTTCTAAACACTTCTATACAGCTTAAAGTGACATTTATAAGCTTAACTAGGTTAATTAGGTTAACTAGGCAGGTTAGGGTAATTAGGCGCATTATTGTATAATGATGGTTTGATCTGTAGACTATAAAATAAAATATCGCTTAAATTAAAAATAGGTTTTCTTCAAGCCAAAATAAGACAAATAAGACTTTCTCCAGAAGAAAAAAAAATATTATCAGATACACTGTGAAAATTTCCTTGCTCTGTTAAACGTCGTTTGGGAAATATTTAAAAAAGAAAAAAAATTTAAAGGGGGGCTAATAATTCTGACTTCAACTGTATATACGCTTGTCATTTATTCTATTTTATGCAAATTCACTGCATCAAAATTTATATAATCTTTTTAAATGGAGCTATTCAAGTCATCTGGTGAAATTAAATTCATATCGCGATGTATATTGCAGCTAAACTAAATATTGCAATGTCCAAATTATTATTATTTTTCCTTTCCCCAATATCAGCCCTAATACATTCATTTGTTCATTTATATGAAACTAATAATGAAGAAGGTTCAACTAAGATATTTAATTTGATATTTAACAAGGGTGCCAGAACACTGTATATTCGTCATACTCCTCATTCAAACACTGTTGGAGAACTCTAAATGGAGTTTTGGTATTGAATGGACCCTTTTCACATTTCTGGGTTTCTCAGTAGCGGAAGTCGTCAGAGTTAGTGACTTCAAGCTCAGTGAATGGGAGAGTAAAACACGTGTATTTTTTTCATTATAATTTTTAAAATCCTATTTGCTGAAATAATCAAAGATTGATGCGAATGAGATTGATAATGGCAGCCAGAAGAGAGAAGAATGCCAAATTTACTGTCAAGCCCATACATGCTTCATTTCAGACTTATGCCTTGCGTAAGTAAAGTTTATTTCTAAACTAATTTTAAGAGGATCATGTACAGGGTGGACCATTTATATGGATACACCTTAATAAAATGGGAATGGTTGGTGATATTAACATCCTGTTTATGGCACATTAGTGTATGTGAGGGGGCAAACTTTTTAAGTTGGGTGGTGACCATAGTGGCCATTTTGAAGTCGGCCATCTTGGATCCAACTTTTGTTTTTTCAATAGGAAGAGGGTCATTTGACACATCAAAATCTTCGGGTTTTAATGTAACTTTATTCTTTCATGAGGTGTTTACACGTTTCTGACCACTTAAGCACATTGTGCTCCATGTGCTGCCCATTGTGTTGGATTGTCAATACAACCCTTTTCTCACACTCTTCACACACTGATAGCAACACTGCAGGAGAAATGCCGGCACAGGCTTCCAGTATCTGTAGTTTCGGGTGCTGGACATCTTGTATCTTCACACCATAGACAACAAAGATAGTCAGGCCATTCTTCATCAATAGAACCCTCAAGGCCACTGGATATTTGAAATTGCTACATGATGATGTGCTTCCCTCTTTATGCACTGAAGCTGGCATGTTCCCTGAGTTTTTCCAGCAAGATGGGTGCACCACCACATAATGGATGTCAAGTTGAGCATTCCTAGATGAACAGTTTCCTGAAAAATGGATTGGTCGCAGTGGGCCAGTTGAATGGCCCCAAAGGTCTCCTGATCTGACCTCCTAAGACTTTTATCTTTGGGGTCATCTGAAGGCAATTGTCTATGGTGTGAAGATACAAGATGTGCAGCACCTGAAACTACAGATACTGGAAGCCTGTACTAGCATTTCTCCTGCGGTGTTGCAGTCTGTGTGTGGAGAGTGAGAGAAGAGGGTTGCATTGACAATCCAACACAATGGACAGCACATTGAACACATTTTATAAGTGGTCAGAAACGTGTAAATAACTCATGAAAGAATAAAGTTATGTTAAAACCAAGCACACTATTGTTTTTCTTGTGAAATTCCCAATACGTTTGATGTGTCGACTTCAAAATGGCCACCATGGTCACCACCCATCTTAAAAAGTTTGCCGCCTCACATATACTAATGAGCCACAAACAGGATGTTAATATCACCAACCATTCCCATTTTATAAAGGTATATACAAACAAATGGCCCACCCTGTACTTGATGTTTGATGATTGTCCACAGCTGGTCCCGCATTGACTAACGGATGATTCACCAACTAGACGATTCCACTCATTATAACATTTTTTTTTTCCTCCGTTATCTTCGACTTAAAGAATCCCCCTCCCACCCTTACTCTCTCTCCTTTCGTCATTGGGTGACACAGAGGCCCAGTGATTTACCTCTCACCTCATATCAAAAATGTCTCTGGTTAAAGTCCTTTCTGAGTTTATGCTGAGATTGCTTGTTCTTCCCGTGCTCATGTGGGTTTTCCCCGGATTCCCCTCACAGTCCAAAAACACGCAACCTAAGTAACCAGAATAAACCAAATTGGCATTGTAGTCAAGCTCTTAGCAAGCTGTTTATCTCTCCTTAGCCATCCCCTATATCTCTCATTAGCCAAAAACAAGTCGGGGAGTTCATCGAGATCTACTTGAGCTTAAACTCCCCGCTTGACTTACTAACAGGAGGGAGCTCAGAGCTCGAAGATCTTATACACTCAGGGCTTTCTCCCAAGACAGCATGCCAAACAAGCTTAATCATCAGCTGAGTAAAACTCTTGACGTGGTAATCATTTTTTTGTAATTTGGTGCAAAGATGGTCTAATAATACATTTAAGTGTACTTGCTTTTTTATTATTAGTATATTAAAAACTTATTAGGATTTAAGATGCTGATGATCGTTGAACAACGTCATAACAGTCTTGTGAAAAGGGTTCATAGAGTTGTATTGGATGTTGAATTTGGATTGTGTGTTTCAGTGCTGTGAGAGGACATGGCAGAGCTCAGGCTGAGGACATTAGGTTGTTTTCCAGACTGTCCGTCTTCCGCTGGGTTTGCTCCTTCTGGGAGAGCCTCAAGTTCGAATTCGCTTTAAGGTGACGACTTGCTCTAGAAAAATAGTTTTGTTTACCAAACTGTTTCATTCTTTTTTTTGTAGTTCTGTGGGAGTCTTTTTAAATTCTTTATTAAAAAAGATCTATTTTAATTTAATTACTACAATTTATTTCGCAATAATAGAAGCCTGGTTTTGTTTATTTGTTATGATATGAAACTATTATGATATATTTGAACAAATATCGCAAGCTTTTTTATCTTTGAGCTTTTTAAATCAAAATTAAATTATAAATTAGTTTTGTAATGTATTATTGTTTATATCTATTATTGTATGATTATTATTATTATTTTATTATTTACAGTGCTCAACAGAGTACACCCAATTTTGAAAACGAATATTTGTATCCATTTCCCAGTGAATATAGGTTGTATATTTTGGTGGATTTAAACAAAACAGATTTATTAAGCTGCTAAATTTATTAAAATTATATTTTAATCACAGAATATCTTTAGAAAATAGTAACATAATACATTTAAATTTATGCTAAATATTGACAAAAAAATGACAAACTACAAAATGTTAGAGCAAAATTTGAGAGAAACAAAAAATGTATTTTTAATTTTTGTACTTCATATTTTTCCCTAACATATACACTTGACTACTAATTTTGGACCGTTATCATGAGCCATTTCATTAGATAAGCTCCAGATTTTGCTTCACGACTGACTAATCTAATATATATGCACAAATATAACATTGTATAGCTTCCTGTAGAAAACATGAATTTAAATGAGACTTGTGAGGGGTTTACTTGTATATGTTGAGCACTGTGCTGCACTGTAAAGCATTATGCTGTAATATATACTGTGTGTGTGTGTAATGGATATATGAGGTATATTATACTAGAAAACTGTAATCTGTTTGTCACATTTTCCGTTATAAGGTGCAGCAATGTTTGAAAGATAATTCTAACCACACATTTCCAGCCAACAGCAGTGTCTAGTAATGATACTGGATATTATATAAAAAAATATATCATTTTTATAGGGGATGTTTTTTTTTTTTAAAGTTATCAAATGTAGCTTACAAAATTTGCTCAAATTAGAGCACCTTTATGCCAGTTTTTGTATGGGTTGCTGTATAAATTGATAAATATATGTATCTGAAGATATTAACAATTTTTGTTCTACCTCCAGGTCAGAGATGGCGCTCATGAGTGTCACTCGCTCTCTGCTGAAGCTGCTGGCTTTCTGCAATATGGTCACGCTGGATCAGGATGTGTTTCAGTATCTGAAATGAAGCTCAGCAGCATACCTCAGCATTATGGCTTTTATTTTGGTCAAAGTTCAGTGACTGACCTGAGCTCGGGCTCTCAGGAACCTCTCTCACTTTCTTCTGCTCTGGTGAGCTGCATTTCTCTGAAAGCTGAGCACTTTTTAAATATGCTTTTACCAGGTAGAATAATGCAGCATTTCATAAACTTTTTACACATAATTCAGGGTGCCATAGAATGAAAATCTGGATCTATCAAGCGTAGCTCAAAAATAATAATTCAACAGATGGAAATGATTGATTGTGAATCTCAAATACCCAGCAGAGATCCATTGCTTGCTTGTTCTCATGCAAATCTTTTTTTTCGCAGACAAAAAAAAAAACTGTTCCTGGCTTTGGAGTTTAATGGAGTATAGTGTGAGTGTGTACGAGATCTTTGTCTGAGAAAATCAAAATAAGCAGCTCCGCTTTCAGAACATGAAAAATGTTGGATGTATGGATTATAAACCTCATTAATATTAACGACCCTTCCAAATATGATCAAAACCATGCATCTCTAATTAGGACAAATTCATTAATAGTTTTTTTACAATGCACCCCTGGCAAAACTGTACTTTCACCCATCAGTCACTGACTTGAGCATCAGAGTAGAGCTCATTATTATTCATGACCCTTCCAAATATGGTCAAAACCATCCATCTCAAATTAGTACTGATTTATTGATAGTTTTTAGAACGCAACCCTGGCATAACAGTACTTTCACTCATCAGGCACTGACTTAAGCTGCGGTCACACTTGACTTTTCTCCTCATAGACTTCCATTTATACACACACGAATGTGTCAGACTGGAAACGCAGGGTCATACGTTAAGTTTTGCAGGTCACTGCGGTACAAAGTTCAAGCTTGGTGAACTCTGACCTGCGAAATCGCTTCACTTGACTGCGTGAGACCAATCAAGGATCGAAACATGACCTCTCTGGAAAGAAATTTAAAACATGGAGCAATCGCTCGCTTTTTTAATGTCTAATAATTTTATTTAATCCTGCCCCTTTTCGCAGCGCCGTATGACAGAATTTCAAACACACAAACTCCAGTGTGACCGCAGCTTTAAAATTCAGAGTAGAGTTCATAAATATTCACGACTCTTCCAAATATGGTCGAAACCATTCATCTCCAATTAGAACCAATTCATTTATTTTATTTTCAGCTTACTCCACTTATTAATGGAATGAACCGCCAACTTATCCAGCACATGTTTTACGCAGCGGATGCCCCTCCAGCTGCAAGCTATCACTATGAGACATCCATACACACTCCATCACACTCATACACGATGGACAATTTAGCCTACCCAATTCACCTGTACCGCATGTCCTTGGACTGTGGGGGAAACCGGGTCTCCGCACAGGTCACGTGACTGAAAAGTATGAATAGTGTTTAAAATATACCTGTAAACACTTTTCCACTTATCTAAGCCATATACCTTCTGTGTTGATATCTGAAAACTATTTAGCAAGGAATCCAGTGCATTCTATGGCACCTTTTAAAGCTTGTGAAATAAAAAGAACCTGATAAAGCTACATTCTCTTCTTCTGAAGGCCGCAGTTTTGAAACACTAAAATAATTAGAACGAATGAAGCAAACGTTTATGGGGTTTAGCATTTTCAGTGACTTATTGCAATTTCAGTCATACAGCAACGACCGCAATAGACATGTTTATAAGAATAATATTTTAAATGTGTGCCATTTTGTATTCCAATGATTCATTTGTTGTTGAATATGCAGGAGGAACTGAGGAATTGCGCAGTGATGAGCTTATGGTTGTGAGAATTGGACATAATCTACCTGTATTTAATGTGTTTTCAATATAAATCATTTGTATTTCAATTTTGTCAAACATTCATCAATGATTATTTTATTAACCTCCTTTTTTTTTTACTCTATAAAGGTTATCAAAATGTTAAGCTTGACCTTTTCTGTGTACTCGTATCAGACAATTTAGTCAATAGGTTTAACTTTTTTTTTTAGTATTAAATTAGATTTTTTATATTCTTAAAGCCTGTGCACACAGACGGTTTTTGCTCGCGTTTTCAATCGACGTTTAACGCCTCGTGACTAAATAAAAGACGTCAATGTGATCGTGCACACCAACGTACAAAACGGCAGGCACAAAAGCGCATATTTAAAAAAAAAAAAAATGCCTCATGCTTGTTTTTTTATTTGACCGCACGTTAAAACCTTTTCCACCAATCTGGTTGGCACTTTTGTTCACGTGCATGGAGCTGCTGAAGTTACAGTTAACAGCTCTTGGAGGCGCTCAAACGCAAAACTGTCAATGTGAGCGCACTTTGAAGAAGATACCCAGAGGCCATATGAACGTGGAGCTGCTTATTGCTCCGGTGAACAATAATCATTTCTTCATCCCTAGATCAAGTCACCAGTAACTTTAACAACAAGCGTGTGAACTTCTTCTCTTCCTCTTCTTCTGTGTTATAAGCGGGTGTCAGAAGCTTAAAGTTGTGTAGTGCCATCTAACATCAAGGAGTGATTTTGCATACTCTTCTGCTGAAAATCGATTAGGGTTTGAATCCGAAAAAACGTCTCATAAAACGCTGACGATAAACGCAAATGAAAAGCGTCCCCGTGTGTACGAGCCTTTAATCTACTGAATGTCACAATATGAATATTGAATTAAAACTTAGCACAGATAACAAAAAAGGAGACTCATTCCTAAAGTATGCCATAAGTCCTTGTGACGTACTGGATCTGCTCCAATATGTAGTGTAGTGCGTTTAGGGTTGGGGTAGGCAGAGATCAGCGGTCACCAATCTCGTTCCTGGAGGTCCGGTGCCCTGCAGGGTTTAGCTTCAACTTGCCTCAACAAACCTGCCTGGGTGTTTCAAGCATACCTAGCTTGATTAGCTTGTTCAGGTGTGTTTGATTAGGGTTGGAGCTTAAAGCTGCGGTCACACTAGAGTTTGAGCGTGCAAAATTCTGGCGTAGGGCTCTGCGAAAAGGGGCGGGATTAAATAAGATGATCAGACATTTAGAACGCGAGCGATTGCTCCATATTTTAAATTCCTGTCCAGAGAGGTCATGTTTTGATCCTCGATTGGTCTCAAGCAGTCAAGTGATGCGATTTCGCAGGTCAGAGTTCACCAAGCTTGAACTCTGCAACCTGCGAAACTTGACCCATGACCCTGCGTTTCCGGTCTGACGCATTCCTGTGCGTATGAATGGAAGTCCATGGGAGGAAAAGCCCAGTGTGACCGCAGCTTAAATCTGCAGGACATTTCCTCTAAGAACAAGTTTGGTGATCCCTGGCGTAGATGTTGATAACACACAGTTTACTAGGTAATTTAATGATTAAAATAAATTATTTTTATTTCTAGCCTGCACATGCATGTCAACTACATATCAGACCTGATCCAGTACGTCATCGTGCTGCAGTGGACACACTTTTATTGATTACAGTAGGGTTGTGCAATATGACAATAACTAATGAAACCATTTTGCTGTGTGCCTTTTCTTCCCCCACAAACAATGGCTAGTTCAATCACAAATAAATAAATGTAAAACTAAAAATGCCAACAGCTGGTGACAAGTCTCTTAATGTGTGGTTGAGAGAATCATTCACTCAAACAATCCTTCAAAAAGGCCCACAAAGCAATTGAGTCTTTATTAAAGAGCCCATATTATACATGAAATAGGGTCATATCTTGGTTGTAAGGGTCTCCAACAACAGTCTAATATGCATGCAAGGTCAAAAAACACTTTCATGGTCTTATAATCTGCATTTATTTTTACCTAATTATCCCAGCGACTCCTGTATGAATCGTCCAGTGATTCATTTGTTCCCAAACCCCTCCTTAGCGCGAAGCTAATCTGCGCTGATTGGACCGATGACAGTCTGTTGCGATTGGTCGACTGCCTTCAGTCAGAGAGTAAAATGCACAACAGCTAATCAGCAATATAAAAGTAATCACAGTTCATACACGCTCGATAGTGTAGGCGTGGATTTTAGCTGCCAGTGGGTCAATGTAAATACAGACGATGGACTTGAAAATTCAGACGATTAACTATTTCATTGAGCAAAAACTCCAAAAACTGTCGAGGAGATCTCCTAGCTTGTCTCACTCTGCTCTTTTCAGACACAAACACACACACACACACACACACACACACACACACACACACACATTGCCATCGTCCGCGCACACAAACACAAAAACACACACAGACCTCCGAGCGACAACGCGCACGCGCGCACACACACACAAACACACACACACACACTACCCTTGTCCACGGAGCTCCATAAACAAAGCAGCATGCGTCGCATGACTTTGCACGCGATAAGAGAATATAGCCAGTTAACCTGATACAGTACACGCGGTTACAAGTAACAAATCACAACTAAATACATTTGCAAGCTAGAGTCAACGAGGCAACAACTTTAATCGCACGTACTTACACTTGAGAAATGGAGGAAGAAACCCATCCTGACGTCCAGCAGTAAGTTACTCTTTACTGATCCTTCCTTTAACAAACGCTGATGAAGTATTCTTTGTAGCATGTAGCTTCCAGAAGTTTCCAGTAGTTTCCAACTGCTTGGTTATAATGCTGAGGTTTCATCTTTGGGTAGAGGCTCGATAATATCCATCTGCAGTGTGACTTCAATCGACCGACATGTTTGTGTGCGTGTGTTTGTGGGTGTGTGTCTGTGTGCGTTACTGCGTCAGAGGGCGGGGCCTCAGGTTTGAAATCTCCCGGGTTTGCGTGTGCACGTGAATAACTTGGTTTCGTTCGTAAGTCATGGCGAAACACCTAATGACTCGGTATCAAGGCGACTCGTTTGAAGCATATGAGTCGACTCTTTTATAGATGAATCAACCGTTTTAAACACTGTACACTAACAGATTTAAGCCTTAGCTGGATACTTCACTTCACTTAGAGCTGTGTTACACACTACATGGAGGGGAATTTTCAAAAAACTATAATATGAGCTCTTTAAAGAACCGACTCATTGACTCGATTCATTAAAAACGAAATGCTGCAGTGAAGGTTATTTGGAAATGTTTTACTTGGTGAAATAAACTTGTTTCGCTAAAATTCAATATGACCTTATTTGTTGAACTGTTTATATAAAATCAATATGTTCATGTGCTGATTTACATGCACCTGTGTGATACTGGATTGAATCATTTTTCAAATATAAAGCAACTACGGTCACCCTTTATTTTAATGTACAATTTACCTTATTACACCATTAAGGTAGTGGGTTTAGGTATTGGGAAGGATTAGGAGTGTAAAATAAGACCATACTTTAGAAGAGCTAATAAATAGTAAATATATTAATATTAGTCAGGTAATAAGCCAGTAGTAAATTGCGTCTTTAAATTGTTACTGCAAAATTTCATAGAGGGACTTATTCCTCATTTATTATATGAACTTGTCATTCTACCTGTATTCTAATAAGCTTCATCATGCAACAAATTCTTTTGAACACTCTTTCACTCTTTTCAAAAAACCCAATACAGGTTCGTGTTATTGTAGATATATATTGCACATCCCTAAATAAAAGGTGTAATTCTTTTGACGGATTAAATTGGTGAAAAAAATAAAGAGAAAGAAAGATGACACTGAAGACATGACCGTATCCACATGTTTCTCTGTTCTTAATGTCAACATGAACGACATGGTCATTTCTTTTCTTACAAAATATTCTATGAAACACAATACCGTTTACTGTACTTCCTTTTTGGTCAACAACAAAAAAACATCAGTATGACAAATGTTAGTTTCTGCTTTTCTATCAAAACATTGAAATATAAAACAGTGGGCAAAAAGGGGAAACCTTCATGGGATGGAAAACAGTGAGCTCTTCAGAAGTGAGCAGTGACTCTTTCAATCTCCAGAAGATCATCCAAGATCTGAAATGAACGGAAAAACTGATGAGCGGAGGTGGAAAAGGGGAAACTTTGAGACCTAGTTTTCCTGAAACATTTAAATGTGTTAAAACTGTCCACCTACTGACTGAACAAATGAACATTACTCCAAAACAACATATTCCTACCATAAAAGTGTTGCCGTCATTTATGTTCTTGTCTTGAGTTCCCACTTATGTGTCAGATGCTTAAATATAGGGTTATTTATGAGATCTATGACTATGGTCATTATGGTTTATTAAAAGTTAATGCGTGATTCTGTCACTTAACTGTCATTATAACATTTGTTTTAAAGTGTAATTTCTTGTTAAATTTCAGAAATATTTAAAATATTAAAAAAAAGAATTAATAAAGTAAAATAGTAATACATTAAACAGAAATATAAGGAAAATATTAATGGGCTCATTTAAAAAGAAATAAATATTGACTAATAACAAGAATAAAACCTAATAATTCAAATTAACCCTTGTTCTTCACATAATAAAATATTTAAATTAAATATAAAATAAAAATATTTTTTAAATACAGTTGAAGTCAGAATTATTAGCCCTGTTTATTTTTTCCCCAATGTCTGTTTAACGGAGATTTTTTCAACACATTTCTAAACATATTCGTTTTAATAACTCATCTCTAATAATTTTAATAACTCATCTCTAATAATCTTTGCCTTGATGACAGTAAATAATATTTGACAAGATATTTTTCAAGACACTTCTATACAGCTTAAAGTGACATTTAAAGGCTTAATTAGGTTAACTAGGCAGGTTAGGGTAATTAGGCAAGTTATTGTGTAATGATAGTTTTTTATGCTGACTATAGGAAAAAATATATAGCTTAAAGGGGCTAATAATTTTGGCCTTAAAATGGCTTTTAAAAATTAAAAAATGCTTTTATTCTAGCTGAAATAAAACAAATAAGACTTTCTCCAGAATAAAAATATTATCAGACATACTGTGACAATTTCTATGCTCTTAATAATTCAAAATGTAAACAAAAGCTATAAGAGTATGTTCATG